GGTCACCGCCATCGTTGATGAAGTCGCAATCGACGTGCCGGTCGAGACCGAGGTGCCGGAGACGGCAGAGGTGCCGACAGAACCCGAAGCTGCGGTGGGTGGCGTTGAGGAGGCCGACGTGGTGGCGGAAGTGCAGGACGCGGTGGAAGAGGCTCTTCGGGCCGTATCCGAAGCTGCGTCGGTGGCCACTGCTGAAGCCGTACCGACAGTCGAGACGGTGGAGCCTGAGCCTACTGAGCCCGAGGCGGTTGAGCTCGAGACGGTTGCGGCCGATACGACAGAGCCCGATACGACTGAGCCGGAGACAACGGACAGGGCTGATGCCGTCGAGGTGATGGAGGTCGCTGCAGTCGCTGAGGCCCTGGTGTCTGCTGTGGAGTGTGCTGCGCTGGCCGCAGGGGCGAAAGAAGCGGTCACCGCCATCGTTGATGAAGTCGCAATCGACGTGCCGGTCGAGACCGAGGTGCCGGAGACGGCAGAGGTGCCGACAGAACCCGAAGCTGCGGTGGGTGGCGTTGAGGAGGCCGACGTGGTGGCGCAGGCTGCGGTGGAAGAGGCTCTTCGGGCCGTTGCCGAAGCTGTGTCGGTGGCCACTGCTGAAGCCGTACCGACAGTCGATACGGTGGAGCCTGAGCCTACCGAGCCCGAGGCGGTTGAGCTCGAGACGGTTGCGGCCGATACGACAGAGCCCGATACGACTGAGCCGGAGACAACGGACAGGGCTGATGCCGTCGAGGTGATGGAGGTCGCTGCAGTCGCTGAGGCCCTGGTGTCTGCTGTGGAGTGTGCTGCGCTGGCCGCAGGAGCGAAAGAAGCGGCCACCGCCATCGTTGATGAAGTCGCAATCGACGTGCCGGTCGAGACCGAGGTGCCGGAGGCGGCAGAGGTGCCGGCAGAACCCGAAGCTGCGGTGGGTGGCGTTGAGGAGGCCGACGTGGTGGCGGAAGTGCAGGACGCGGTGGAAGAGGCTCTTCGGGCCGTATCCGAAGCTGCGTTGGTGGCCACTGCTGAAGCCGTACCGACAGTCGAGACGGTGGAGCCTGAGCCTACTGAGCCCGAGGCGGTTGAGCTCGAGACGGTTGCGGCCGATACGACAGAGCCCGATACGACTGAGCCGGGGATAACGGACAGGGCTGATGCCGTCGAGGTGATGGAGGTCGCTGCAGTCGCTGAGGCCCTGGTGTCTGCTGTGGAGTGTGCTGCGCTGGCCGCAGGGGCGAAAGAAGCGGTCACCGCCATCGTTGATGAAGTCGCAATCGACGTGCCGGTCGAGACCGAGGTGCCGGAGGCGGCAGAGGTGCCGGCAGAACCCGAAGCTGCGGTGGGTGGCGTTGAGAAGGCCGACGTGGTGGCCGCAAGCACCGGCAGGAAGAGGGCTCTTCGGCTCGTATCCGAAGCCTGTATCGGTGGCCACGTGCTGAAGCCTTACCCGACATGCAATACGGTGAAGCTGAAACCCTACGCACCCCGAGGCCGTTTGAGTCTTGGAGATCGTTGACGGTGGATATCAAAAAAGCCCAAGACCATTACCCCGGAGACAACGAAAAGGGGCTAATGCCCTCAGAGCGCATGGAGGTCGCTGCAGTCGCTAGACGCCCAGGGCTCCTTCTGCTGAGTGCCCGCACCTCGCCCGAAGTCGCCGAAAGAAGTGAACACCGGACTACCGGTATGAG